ATATAGCATGTTCTGACTGAGATTTCTGAAAAAATTAAAATGTACAGCTCTGCTATCACTTCCAGCATAAATAAGGACAGAAAACTAAACAGCAGTGATGTTTGTAGAGTTACTGAAGTTGGACTAGCTGGTATATCATGATGTGCTACGTGATCGCTAACGACACAGCTATGTTAGCATAACAAACAGTGAAACTGGAGGATGAACAATAACTTTTTTCCACTCGATAAAAGTTAATGTGAGGGTTCCCGATGGTTAGGGACAAATGCAATCGCATGGCAGGATGCTGTAAATGCACCAAACTTCAGTCAGGAGAACAACTGAGACAATCCATCCACAATATGAGGTTAGTCATTAATATACTGCAACAACATGGGAATAGAGCAGCTGTGAGAGAATTCAGCATTAATGAATCAATGGTACGGGAGTGGAGGAAGAAAGAGGAATGAGTTGAGTAAAGTTTGACTTGTTTGGTTTCGCTTAATGTGCCCTATAATCCGGTGCACTTATGTATGAAAACAGATCCATTCATCGACAGTGCGCCTTATAATCCGGTGCACTTTATGGTCTGAAAAATATGGTAGTTTTAGTGTTAGCTTAGTTAGTCTAAATAAATGTAGCTAAAATTATTCTGTCACTGAAGGCTTTGTTTTCTCTGATTATTTCTGCTTTAGTCATTTTTGTCCTTCTTGTTCTATCCTACCCAGACTGCTTCTGAGGTACAGTAATTCTGCCCTGGCTAAATGGATGAGCCAACAGGAATTTTCTATTCCTCAGAATGTACTGGAGATCGTCTATGGTCAGACCATCTGCTGGATCGGCACTTTCTACTGCCCACTGCTGCCTGCTATCTGCACCCTCAAATATTTCTTTATCTTTTACATCAAGAAGGTGACATTTTGGTTTGAATGCATGTAGTTTTCTCCCTTGCAAGAGTGAAGGAAAAAAGCATGAAATATTCTAGTAAGCCTCATTTTCAAATTTTTGTTTGCTAGGTATCATTAATCAAAAACTGTCGTCCAGCCACACGTCCTTTCCGAGCATCCAGCTCCAACTTCTTTGTGTCCTGAAGGTAGTAGTTCATATGCACCTTAGAGAGGGTGCAATACATCACTGAGAATTGCTTACACTTGTCCCTTGATGTTCCTTAAAGTA